AGAAATAAAAGGAATACAAATAGGTAAAGAAACTGTCAAAGTATCCCTGTTTGAAGATGACATGATCCTATACCTCAAAGACCCAAAAAATTCTATCCCAAAACTCCTGGACACCATAAACAGCTTCAGCAATGTGGCAGGATACAAAATCAACTAACAAAAATCATTAGCTTTTCTATACACCAACAATGAACAAATTGAGAAAGAATATACGAAAACAATTCCATTTATAATACCCTCAAAAAACAATCAAATACCTAGAAGTAAACTAACAAAAGATGTGAATGACCTCTACAAGGAGAACTACAAAGCCCTAAAGAAAGATATCTAGGAAGACTACAGAAGATGGGAAGATCTCCCATGCGCATGGATTGGTAGACTCATGGCTATACTACCAAAAGCAATCTACAAGTTCAATGCAATTCACATCAAAATCCCAATGACATTCATCAGAGATTGAAAAATCTACCCAAGTGTTCATTTGGAAACACAAGAGACCTCAAATAGCCAAGGCAATACTCAGCAAAAAGAGCAATGCTGGAAGTATCACAATATCTGACTTCAAACTATATTACAAAGCAATAGCAATAAAAACAGCAAGGTACTGGCAGAAAAACAGATAGGAAGACCAGTGGAATAGAATAGAGGACCCAGTTATGACTCCACACAGTTATGCCCACCTTATTTTTGACAAATGCACCAAAAATATATGATGGTGAATAGACAACCTCTTCAACAAATGTTGCTGGGAAAAGTGGTTATCTTCCTGCAGAAAACTGAAACTAGATCCATGTCTATCACCCTGCACTAGTATCAACTCAAAGTGGATTAAGGACCATAATATCAGACCCGAAACTCTGAAGTTAGTACAGGAAAGAGCAGGGATTACTCTGGAAGCAATAGGTAGGAAGATTGAGCAAGGATTTCCTCAACAGAACTTCAGCAGTCTAGCAACTAAGAGAAATGATGAACAAATGGGACTACATGAAATTAAAAACCTTCTGCACAACAAAAGAAATGGTCTCTAAACTGAAGAGACAACCCACAGAGGGGGAGAAAATATTCTTTGGCTGTATATCAGACAAAGGACTGATAACCAGAATATACAGGGAACTCAAAAAACTAAACTCCCTCAAAATTAAAGAATCAATAAAGAAGTGGGCAACTGAACTAAACAGAACTTTTTCAAAAGAAGAAATCCAAATGGCCAAAAAACACAAGAAAAAATGCTCACCATCTCTAGCCATAAAGGAAATGCAAATCAAAACCACGCTAAGACTCCACCTCACTCCTGTTATAATAGCTATCATCAAAAACACTACCACCAACATATGTTGGCGAGGATGTGGGAAAAAGGAACCCTCGTACACTGCTGGTGGGAATGTAAGCTAATACAACCACTTTGGAAAGCAATATGGAAGCTTCTTTAAAAAGTAAACATAGATCTGCCATATGATCCAGCAATCCCACTCCTAGGGATATACCCGAAGGAATGCGATTCAAGTTATTCCATAGGCAACTGCACATCCATGTTTATTGCGGCACTATTCACAATAGCCAAGTTAAGGAAACAGCCAAGATGCCCCAGCACTGACGAATGGATTAAGAAAATGTGGTATTCAAGGGAGGGGTGAGGATAGGTAAGACACCTAAAAAATTAGCTAGCATTTGTTGCCCTTAACACAGAGAAACTTAAGCAGATACCTTAAAGCAACTGAGGCCAATAGGAAAAGGGGACCAGGAACTAGAGAAAAGGTTAGACCAAAAAAGAATTAGCCTAGAAGGTAACACACACGCACAGGAAATCAATGTGAGTCAACTCCCTGTATAGCTATCCTTATCTCAACCAGCAAAAACCCTTGTTCCTTCCTATTATTGCTTCTACTCTCTCTACAACAAAATTAGAAATAAGGGCAAAATAGTTTCTGCTGGGTATTGAGGGGGTGGGGGGAGAAGGAGGGGGCGGAGTGGGTGGTAAGGGAGGGGGTGGGGGCAGGGGGAAGAAATGACCCAAGCCTTGTATGCATATATGAATAATAAAATAATAATAATAATAATAAAAGAAAATGTGGTATTTATACACAATGGAATTTTACTCAGCCATGAAGAATGAACTCTTACCATTCTCAAGTAAATGGATGGAACTGGAGAACATCTTAAGTTAGCCAGGCTCAAAAGACCAAAAATCATATGTTCTCCCTTATTTGTAGACTTTAGACCAAAAACAGATGCAGAAGTATTATTGAACTTGGGACAAATGCTAAGGGGAGAACACATACAGGAGGAATAGGGAAAGGTAGGAAAGCCAAAACTTGAAAGTGTTTGATGTGCCCACTGCAGAGGAGTGAATAAAGTAATCTTAAACTTACACAAGCCACTATGGAAAGGTGACCGGGAAGTAGTGAAGAGATCGGTAGAGATGAATCAATTCTGGCTGTAATACACTTGTGCATTGAAGCAACACAACGAATCTCTCTGTATAGCTATCCTTATCTCAAACTAGCAAAAATGTTATGTCGTCTTATTATCGCTATGTCTTCTCTTCAACAAAATTGAAGAACAGGGCAGAACAGGTTCTGCCTTGAAGTGAGGTTGGTGGGGGGGAAGAGAGAGTAGCTGGGGGGCAGAGATGGCCCAAACAATGTATGCACGTATGAATAAATTAACAAAAAAAAAAACAAAAAAAGAAAATTAAAAAATATCTCTGTCCACTGTGCAAAAATTATCAGCTTCTTTCATTTAATATCTTTATGTACACATATTACAACCACAATTTCCTTTTTTACACAACTGGGACCATTTTTATGTAGTTTTTAAAATCTTTTACCTATCTAACCAAGTGATATAATTATCTCCCTTTGCCCTTAGACCTTGATCAACAATTTTTTTTTTGTAGTACTGACATTTGAACTCAGGGCTTTGGGCTTGCTATGCAGGTGCTTTACCACTAAAGCCATGCTTCCAGCCCTTTCTTCTGTGGTTACTTTGAAGATAGGTTCACAGTCCTCCTTTTTTGCACTTTCTGCTGTAGCTGGGATGACAGCCCTGTGCTACCACATCCACCTTTTTTTCACTGTGATGGCAGCCTGTCCAGGGTAGCCTGGATCCCAGTTACTGCCAAAATTAGCCTCCTTATAACTGGAAGATAAGGCACCATGCATGCCACCATGCCTACTATTGGTTGAGATGGGCACTCTCGAACTTTTTGCCTGGTTTGTACTTGAACCACAATATTTGCCTCCCAAGTAGCTAGGATTACAGGTGTGAGCCAGTGGTACCCTGCTTATTCAATAATTTTAATGTCATGAAAGTCAGTCATGTGAATAGGCTACAATTCACTGAACCATTCTTCCTTAGTAAGCATTTGCCTTTTCCTCACATTCTCATCGTATACTCAATGCTACAGGTGAATTCTCAAACATGGCTCTTGTGTGCATCTCTGACAGTTTTCTCATGATCATTTCTTAGAAATAAAAATTCTGGGTTCAAGTACAGAATTTTAAGGTTTTACTACATTTCGTTAAACTGCTACCATTTTGCTGGAGAGAAATTTATATGCCCCATAGCAGTATACAAGAATCACATCACTTCTCCAGCACTTAATACTGCCCTAAAAATATCTGCACATTTCTCCTTGCTACACATTACTTATTTCTTTTTTGATTTGTATTTTTTTGATTACTAGTAAGCCTTTGCCTTTTTCCCCCATGCTTCTTAGAGGTACTTCCTCCCATGTGTACTTTTCATATTCCTGTCTAGAGAGCTCATGTTTTGAAAAAAATTACTTATAAGTCTTAAATATTGCTATGTTTTTACTAATTCTTTGTTGCAAATTTAATTTTAGGGTAAGTCTTCCCAATCCACCACTGTGGTGGCTATTGTTCTTTCTCCTGCAATTTCACAAGCTATAAAATTAACTTAGAAAATTCAGGCTGAGACAAATACTGCACCTGTAAAAATGACATCACCTCTACTTCCAAATGGGTGATGGCACCTGGGGATTCATCTTCCAGTGGACAATGTGCTAACAGGAAGTTATCCAGAAATAAGAAGCTGAAACACAGAGTCCATTGAAATGGAAAGTACACATCCTAATGAATTTAGGACTTTTTGTTTTGATTCTGGCTTTTTGCATTGTTGCAGTGGTCTTGGTTCTGAGGGCTCAATTGGGAAACTGACAGGAGGAAATACAGGGGAGAGGTAGATCCCTCTCCCACAATCCATTGAGAGTACACCTCATCTTTACACATCTTTTATTGTGAGACATCCAGGTGTTGGCAGCCTTCTCAGCACAAAACTTATGCTTGGATTTATTTTCATTTCCATATATATCACTGTTGTTAAGCAGGAAAGCTGCCTATCACAGATGTTAAACAACTGGTTGTTTGATGACTCTGCAAAGGCAGTTTCCACACTGGGTGTGGTGTAGATTGTGCACATTTGTACAACTTCTTCCAAGAGACTTTGATGTATGCTGGATAGGAGCAGATTTTCTGCAGTGACAAAAAACATACTTGAGTTTTTTTCTCTCTCTTGTTTCTCTCGTCTACCAGCCACTGGCAGAAATCACCACTTCTTCAGTGAAGGAATGCTACTTTCCAAAATCTTTTGGCAGAATCTCCTAGCGATTTGTTTTTCTGTCCCTTCCTAATTTAGAAACAGTCTCCAAAGGAAAAAAAAAGCTGACAAACTGATATGATAAGAAACCAACTCTGATTTAATTTCAAATTTCTTTCATGGAAAGTTTCAGAGCTTATTATCTACCAATAAAATGGAACAACATAAACAAAAATGTATATACTCCAAGATCAGATTATTTTTCATTCTAATCAAGAAGCAACACGTGATACAAATTCAAGATTTATTAAAATCATTTGTAAGTTAAATGAACATAATAGCTTGGTGGTGAAGGAAGCCTTTTAATGAGGCAAAATAATGAGTTATGTGAATAAACAGAAAGAATGAAAAGTGTTAACTGTGACATTTAAGTGGTTACATGATTTTAATTATTCTTTTGATAATAAGCCAGCCTTGTGATGTCTATTCAGGGGACTGAAACCTGTGCCTACTATGGAATTTGCAGTTGAATTACAACTTTGTTTCCTGCATTTGGCAATTTTCAGGAAACAAATGAAAATGGTTTTAAGACCTGATAAAAATCTACCACTTACCAAAAGAACTTCAAAGGTAAGGTGGTAAGCATTAGAAAGACAAGAGTGAAAAGAAAAAAAAATTTAAAAAGCCACACACGCATTGTATTTATTTGTGAGACAGAGCAAGACAGGTCAGAAGGGTTAGTCAGAGAAGAGGCTGGAAGCCCAGTCCATGCCAGCCCCTCATTTGTTCTTGGCTGCCAGGGGCTTTCGGCTGATCTTTTTCGATTTGTCGTTGTTCTTCTTTGGGGGTTCTGGATTCGCCTGCATGTGTCTACCGTAGAGGCTGAAAAGAGAGAGAGAGACAGAGAGAGAACCATGAGGTGTGTTTTGCTAAAACAAGTTTCTATTGGTAGAGCTTTAAGTAATAGGTTAATCTGCAGAAACAGTCAGTGAGCCAGAGAAAGCCAAGAGGTCACTATTTTCTCCGAGCCTTAAACAGTATTTAATAATTTAAAATTGTCATACACACACACACATGCTTACACACCCTATGCCATGGTGCTCAATCATGGACAAGTCTTCTGGAATTTCACACTCCCTGGGCAGGGTGTGAAAACAGCACAGGAAGTGATCTTCATTATTATGAGCACAAGTAATGCTCAAAAAGTCATTTCAGGTTGAAGGTCCAAAGGTTGTGAATGTTTCACTCAACAATGACAAAAGTTGGGTTGAATTAAAGAGAGAGACAGAGTTTTGTTTGGTGAAAAGTGTATATCATGCTTGGCCTGAAAGCCCAGAGGCTGGACAATGTGACAAAGAGCAATGCTGTCCCAGCCTGTGCTGGCTGCTCACATGTGACTGACAGCGTGGGGCTGGCCACCACACATCGATGCCACGTTAATAAATACTGCTGATTAAATGTTGACGACGTGCCCTACAATTACAGTGGATGGTATTCACTGCAGAGCAAAGCTGGCTCCATGGCTGAGAGAATTTAAGTGAGCAGTAGATAGTAATTAATCCATAATTTATGAGTAAATTCTGATTAAACTAAAACTGTAAAATAAATGCAGCTCAGCCTTAACTCTCTTTATTGATATAACTTTGTCTCCTTGAGTACTGTGGGTGTCTCAGCTCTCTCAGCCGCTATGGAGGAAAGATCTGTCTCTGTTGGTTGCACCTGTCTTGTATCAATGGAACGAGAGATGACACAAAGACTAACCTCCCTGTTCAAGGTGTCTCTGGTTCTACTATTACTCAAGAATATCACATCCATTCTTTCACAATCTGTACTTCTTTATTTTTGCAGTGCTGGCAATGGACCCAGGGCCCTGCACATACTAGGCAAGTGCTCTACCACAGAGTTATATCTCTAGCTCCAAAACCATTCTTGGTATTTTGTGGCCACATGCAGTATGGCATTGTTTGGCATACACTGGTGTTCTTGATGTTATTAACACCAACTGACAGGATGAATGGAGGATCTGATATCATGATTAGGGAAAGCTGGATGTAGCATTTTGGTAAGTCATACAGTATTCTATTTTTTCCAGAGTCTTCCGAGTGTCCCTGTAAGAGCAATATGAGCAGGCTGTACCAGCCAGTGGTGATGGAGAGAGGTCTCTGCCCTCACGGAGTTGAGAATGCAGAGTTTGGACCTAGCAGAAGGTGGACCTACAGAGGCAGAGAATGGACATCCAGCCAGGTGCTGGAAGTGTTTTGTGGTTAGAAGACACCATATGCACTAGACAGGTAGCATGAGAGCCTGCAAATGGGCTTTCAAAACTCTGTGGCAATTAGAAGTTTTGAGAATTTGTGCTATCATAATGAAGAGAACAGACTAATCCTACCCAGCCTAGAAGTACCTGATCTACAGCCACAAGTCTGGTCTGCAGGCCCTAAGAGGATCTGCTACCCAGAAAGTGCATCCTTAGACCTGCAGAGGCTCCCTTCAACCATGGTTTATAAAAAGTGACAGATCCCCTGGAGACCAGGTCATGAACTCCTGAGGGCCCTGGAACTCAGGTAAAGAACCATTGGTATAAGGCCAGGTATGATGATGCACACCTATAATCCCAGCTACTCAGGAGGTAGAGACAGGAAGATTGTGGTATGAAGCCAGCTGGGCAAAAGCAGAAGACTCCCTTGGATAAATAAGCTAAAGCAAAAAGGACTGGGGGTGAGGTTCAAGTGGTAGAGACCTTGCCTAGCAAGCATGAGGCCGTTCAAACTCCAATATTGCTTAAAAAAAAAAAAAACCCTCACAAAAAATTAAAATAAAAACATTCTTATATGGAGAAGATAGTGCAACCTCACCTCTGTTGCTGCCCCCAAATCCCGGCATTATCTAGGCCCTAATCCGTGAACCTATCCACCCCTCCCCAACATCTCTTTCAGACACATCAAACAAGTAGGAGGTAACCTGAGCCAAGACAGACATACATTACATTCCTCAGCTTGGTCAACACACTCTGAAACATACTTTATCCTTTGGCCCTTGCCTTTCTCCTCCTCGTGTGTGCCTGCTATAGTCCAGGCCACAGACCCTGCCCAGGGGCGTTATGCGATAGTATGAGATCACCCAGAGGGCTCTGGTCACCAAAGGCCTCTTGCCTGGCACCAGGCAAAGAACTGATTCTGTTCCGTGAGTCCACAATGGCAAGTGGGGTGTCAGTGTCTTCAGCTACACAGCTTTCTTACAGCCTCACGTGTCTTTGCTCTTTTCCAATTCCTTATCTCACAAAGGAAAAAGAAATACAGTATAGATCCTTGGCATCTGTGGGTATGTGGTTCCAAGGAGATTGCTGCTGAGGAAAAATCATGCCTGCTGAGGACGCAGAGTTCAGCACTGTACTAAGGATGCTTAATTCATTTTTCTGACAACGCTGCCCAGCTGCTAAAGGCTGCCCAGGCTGCTTTTCCACAAATCTCAAATTTTAACTTTAGCACTTGAATTCAACAATTTACTTTGCCATGCTTTCTTGTCACCGTTTGCCTTTTAGGAGGCAAAATTAAGAATGGGGAAACACTCAGCAGATCATGCAATGGTTTAAACACAGCTGATGACAATGAGGGACTGAGAGCTTCTTCAAATCCACTGAGCTGTGCAATGTATGTGGGAATCTAATGTTTTTGCTTTTGAAATTTCTTTTTCTTTCATTTATTATTTTTTGACTGCTCTAGGTCAAAACCACACATAATAAATTTTCAAATAAGGTGGTCTCATTGTATGCATGGTCTTACTCAGACAACATGAAGCTTTAAGGATTATAAAAGTCCTCAGCAATGACTCCGTAAGTTCTCATGCATGAGACCCAAAATACTTGGAAAGGAGAATGGGTAACAAAAAGAAGTCACGGGAAGGGGAAGGGAAGTCAGGTCTGGGAAAGGCCTGCTCTGTGTTATGCTCTGAATGAGGTGGGCAAGGAGGACTTCCCCGGGGCGGGGGGGTGGGAACACAGCTGACCTTGCAGAGGGAATCCAGTGAACAGAGTTCAAAAGGGGGTACAAAAGCTGCCTGGCATCAACAGGTCTCCTCCCTTTTTAAGGAGGGAACTGGAACATTCCCATGTTACAGCTACTGCCTTTTATACTCAGATCCCACTGTGTATGCCTAGACTTCCCAGAGCTGCCATGCAAGTCAATACAAGGGGCCACGCAGGAGCCACAGGCCTGGATGTTTAAATCTTGGGTTTGACACTTACTGTTGACTCTGGGTAAACATCAACAACTTTCACCTCACCCTCCCTGCCATGCCTCAGTTTCTTCATCTGTTAAGGAAGGGGAATATCATTTTCCTGACAGGGTGGCTGTGGTGGGCACCACAGAAAATCAACAAATGGCCTGTGCTTTTGAAAAACAGGACGGTTGTGGAGCTGTACTCAGAGAGATTAAATAAAGATAATTATACGATTGCCTTATTTCATTTGGGCTTCTTCCCCTGACAAATAACATAGTATTTTCTATCAATGTTAAATCCTCAAACACCTCTGGAAAAAAAGGTTTTAATCCTCTTTGAAGACAGCAACTAAGGCCAAGCTAAATGCATTGCCCCACTTCCACAGTGACTCATCGCAGAGCTGGATGACGCTGATGTCCCCTGTGTGATCCTTTCATTCCTCCAGCTGTGTGGGCAGATGAAAGTGGCCTTATCATGGCTAGCCATTCCCGCCTAGAGATGAGGAGGAGGCAGGATGGGAACAATGTGCATCTTAGGGTCCACAGTCTTGAGGCTCCGTTCCTGGCCCTCCCAGGTATTAGCCATAGTGCTTCAATTTGGTAGTTATTAGTCATAGGATCTCCATTTAGTAAGTAAGTGTGGCAGACAGATAACTAATGGTAGTTACATCCTAATTCCTGATCCTTGTGAATGTGTTATGCCAAATGGAAAAGGGAGTAGACGTGAAAAAGGACCTTGGCCTGGGAAGACAATCCTGGGTTAATGGGGTGGGCCCAATGTTATCAAGAGTGATTTCTCTTTTGGGGTACTAGGAATTGAACTCAGGGTCTCACCACTTGAACCATATCCCCAGTCCTTTTGCTTTTAGTTTGTTTTTCAGATACATTGAGTGATCTTTTCTCTGGGCTTGCCTTGGATGGTGATCCTCCTACCTCTGCTTCCCTAGTAGCTGGGATTATAGATGTGAGCCACCACACCTAGCCCTCCATGGAGTCTTCAGAAGAAAGAGATAAAGGGCCAGAGTTAGAAACATGAGAAGATGCTATAGTGTTGCCTCTGAAGATGCAGGCAGGGGCCGCGAGCCAAGCAACCTTTAGAAGCTGGAAAGGTGAGGAAATGTACACTTCCCTCAAGTCTCCAGAAAGATGTGACACTATATTGACACTGATAAAGCTCATTAAGTTACAGCAATTTGTTACAGCAGCAATGGGGAACTGACAGTCAGTTGAGTACAAACGAGGATTTTGCTTCATTTCATTAGGAAAAATGAAACTTCCTGTGGTATCAACTCATTGGGAAGCAGGAAAATTAACAAACCTAAGTCTTAGGAAGGACATGAAGACTTTCATGCTGCGAAGGTGAAATGGAGTACGGTTTCCCTCAGAAGTGAAAACAGGCAGGCAAAGTGTCCTCTCTGGCCCTGATGATTCCTGTACCTCCTTCTCTGAAGGTAACGCTCAAGGTCCGGGTTGTGATGTGGCTGGAATTAATTTTTGGAGATGAACAGTGACAACATAGAGAAGCTCGTGCCATTGAAAGTACTTTTGTTACTTGTAGTTCCTGAAAGGAGGGGGCAAAGCATGTCACACAGGGCCACACCTGCAGGGAAGTTTCTGCACTGGGTAACTGGAGTTCTCTTGGTTGTCTAATGCCTGGACCTCAGG